GGTGAGGCCTTCCATAGGGTGTCATCAGAGTCTATCGTATCCTTTGGGATAGGGTCTAGGCCCACCCTGTGTGTCTTGGCTCAGGGAGTATTCCTCTATGTGGAATGGGCTCCCAAAGTCCACACCTATGCTAGGGATAAGTACTGATCTACTACAGCAGGTCCCATAGATTTCCGAGGTTTGCTCACTGAAACCCATGTTCCTGGGGTGTGGATCACTCCCATGCTGGTATCCCAGCTATCAGTCTGGGGAGCAAGAGTTCCCTGATGTTCAGGTCAGCTGTTTCTGTGGGTTTCACCAGCCTGGTCTGGACCCCTTTGCTCTTCACTCGTCCTTCTCTGCATCTGGATTCCAGTTCAGTTCAGTGATTAGTTGTGGGTGTCTGCTTCTATTTCCACCAGCTACTGGATGAGGGCTATCGGGTGTCATCAATCTCATTATCCGGGGAGGGCATTTAAGGTAGCCTCTCCTCTGTTGCTTAGATTGTTAGCTGGGGTCATCTTTGTAGATCTCGAGACATTTCCCTAGTGCCTGATTTCTCTGTAAACCTAAAATGTCTCCCTCTATTATGATATCTCCATTTGTGTTATCTTCTTTTCTTCCTCTGACTCAACCTTTCTGCTCCCTCATGTCCTCTGCATTCCTCCTCTTCTCCCCTTCTCATTCTCCTAGCTCCCTCCCCCCCTTCCCGTGCTCCCAATTTGCTCAGGGGATGGTGACCCTTTCCCCTTCTCCAGGGGACCATGTATGTCTCTCTTAGGGTCCTCCTTGTTTACTAGCTTCTCTGGGAGTGTGGATTGTAGATTGCCAAGATCTTAACTAGAAAAGAAAGCTAAATAAAACTCTAGATTTTAAATGTAAAAGTTGGAGACTTAATTAGCTAATATGGTTTATTTTATAGTGCCTTGGAAAATTAGCTTTTCCTACAGTTCATAATTTAGTTTAAATCTAGTTTTGATTAATATTTGCCACAAACTCATGAGGCCATAAGAAGCCATTGCTAGAAAGAAACAAACCAAGTATCTCAAAAGTTCATTAAGTGCAATTGTAAAGAAAACTAATTAAGCAAGTAATTACATGCCTCCTACACCTTGTGCTAGACTCTAAAGTTATGAAAATGAGTTAATTATGAGGATTCCTTTTTACCTGAAAGAAAGAGTCTCCTAAGAAAAACAAAATGAATGCTATATGCCTTATGAAAGAGGAGTATGCAAATGCAGTGTCTTTCTCTGTCCAGGTTTATGTTTGAACTACGTTGGTAAACACTACAGAAAAAAAGGGGCATTGCTCAGGACCCAGGAGAACAACCGGCAAACAACAGAACAACCTGAAGTACACAGATGCCCCAGGGCTGCAGGGCTGCAGGGCTGCAGGGCTGCAGGGGGCTCCTCTCTGCCCTTGTGGGCATGCCTCGCATATCTGCAGCATGCACTCACTTGGGCTCCCTGTCCCGCCATGACCATGGGAGGCTCCTCATCAAGGACATTTCAAACAATGCTAACATGCCAGATTCATGCAGGTGTCTCCTCACTTCTGGTGGCACAGAGGCTCCTCTACACACTGCAGTTCATTTCAGCAGAAGCTCCATGGACTGTCAGCTCTACATGCCTGGGCTCCAGTTCTCAGCAATGCATGTACTGCCTTAGAGCCCAGGAAGTCATGTGGGAACCCCCAAGCCCATTGGAGCCTTCCCATCTTTAGGTCTTGCACAGCAACAGAGAGGTGACCACTTCCCTAGAGACTGAGCACTGTAAAAGGAATGGCATTCAAGAGTCCTGACAAGTCCCCAGCGCTACCCCCCCCTCCCCCGAGAATGAGGCAGCTCAGACCCCAGTGGCTGATTTATCAGCTCCATTTAAAAAGCAGCACAAGGAGGACAAATACCAGGCGGTTTCCGCTACTTCACTACTACGTAGTTTATGCTTGAATTATTGAGAAAAATAGGGTTTTGGATTAAAATGAAGAAAAATTAAGCCAGGGAAGTAGAGCATGTTTCAAAGCCCAGATCTCTCTGCTGTGACAAAGGCGGTCTAAGTTTCAGGCCTCACTGAGGATCAGATGAAGTCATTATTCATTCAGTCAGGGAAAAAAGACTCAATTACCTCAACCTAAAGATGCTATCAATGAATGCAAAGTGCATATTTTACTCTATTCATCCAAATCCCATTAAAAAGTGAAAGGAATGATTTAATCTGGCCTTCCAGAGTTGGCCTTTTTTTTTTGTAATAAAATAAAGAATTACTGTCTTGCAAAATGCATAACCACTACCTCTTACACTCTTCCCTGCATCATAGCAGTCAAAGACCAAAAGCTTACACAACCTCCAAGAAATGAATACAAAGTTTCCTTTGAAAAAATGCCACATCAAGCATGCAAACACTAAAAGCAGCCCATGCACAGGATATGCACATAATTCAAGGCATTAATAACTTTCTAATTGACCAAGACAGATATAGTTGATTGCCGACCAGTGGATATCAATTTTGAAGGCAATCAAATGCTCCCTTCTCCTGCTCCCTTCCAGAGAGAAGGTGTTAGTGATGACAGACACAGAAGGGTAAGATGCCACCTGCCCCCAGATAACATGACGTTTGTCCTCATGGTCTTTCAGGGTGCCTTTCCTGCCCTTCCTGAACTGGAATGGCAACCCTGAGTTTGGTTAATTCTAAGAAAGGGCAGTTTTCATTACTAGTTTGTTTTTAAAAACAAACATTTTCAATTAGCAATCTTTTTATATTTAATTTCTCTGAAAACTTTAAAAGTTTCTCCATTTAGAGACTAAGATGAAATCACAGAAGTACTTCAAAGAAAAACAAGTTAACTACAAAATCACAGATTCTATAAAGTGTCACCTTCAGCTTTGATGTGTATTTCCCACATTATTAAAGAATTTCCTAAACATCTGAACAAGCCAGACCTTCTGCTATGATTGAAAAACCTTTTTATCCTTAAGATACATTATTAATCATTTGAAACAATTATGACTCTATGAGAAAAGGTAAACTAAATACTCTAGGAAGTAATTTCCAACATTTACTGTAAGTTTTTATATTAGTAAAGCAAATTTTCTTCTAC